TAATCTCCCTCTCTCCTACACACCCTAACCTGAGCCTCACTATCCTCATAAAAACTCTTTACAGCATTTAGTAACTTAGTACCTCTTCCATATACATGTACTTGCAACATCTGCTACATTGCTCCTCTATCCACTCTATCAAATGCCATTTCTAAATCCATAAATACAATGAAAATTTCCCTACCTTTATCTAAATACTGTTCACATATATGCTTCAATGTAAACACTTGATCTACACATCCCCTACCCACTCTAAAGCCTCCTTGCTCATCCGAAATCCTGCTCTTGTCTTACCTCTAATTCTTTCAATAATAACCCTACCGTACACTTTTCCTGGTATACTCAGTAAGCTTATTCCCCTATAAGTTTTACAATCTCTTTTGTCCCCCTTCCCTTTATGTAAAGGAACTATACAAGCTTTCTGCCAATCCCTAGGCACCTTCCCCTCTTTTATACATTTATTAAACAAAAATACCAACCACTCCAACACTATATCCCCCCCTGCTTTTAACATTTCTGTCATGATCCTGTCAGTTCCAGCTGCTTTACTCCCTTTCATTCTACATAATGCCTCTTGTGCTTCCCCCACACTCATATCCTGCTCTTCTTCACTCCTAAAAGATGTTATACCTCCCTGACCAGTGCATGAAATTACCCTTTCTTCATCAACATTTAAAAGTTCCTCAAAATATTCCCGCCATCTACCCAATACCTCCAGCTCCTCATCTACTAACTCCCCTACTTTGAAAATGTATTCACCATAATTCACCTCATAGCTGCCTTTGTAGGAGGGTATAGATACTGTGATATATTGTTCATGCACTAAACTGCAATATCCATCCAACTTTCTAGGTGCTTGCAGTGTACTGTACTTTCATTCTAAAAACTCAATTCAGGTATCACTTTCCCCAAATCCCTTAATAGAAACTGCCATCCACATACTCCATCAGTACATCAACTCCTGAAGAACACTTGCCTCCTCTCCTCTTTAACATGCATGATAATATATGTATCTGCTCAGTATTCAAGGTCTTACCTCTTAATACCTTTTTCCATTCCTTCTTTATATGTCCCCCACACCTTTCACCCACCCAAGAATATACACAATCTTACTCAGTTTTTTTTTTTTTTGTCATTTTTTTACCTTAATGGCCATTTAACTTCAAGGCAGGATGATTCAAAACAGAAAATAAACCATTAATTAGTCAATAGCTTTTCTTGCAAGAGGTCTGAAGATATTACATTTCAAACGACCCTTTGAACTGCAATACCCATATTCCTTCCCTTCAGGCTATCTAGAAATTTGAATCTGCATCCCATCATACTTCATATACAACTTGAGTTATGTTGCATTTTTAATAAGAGCAAAGTAGTAGTATTTTGCTGGGTCCCCAGACATGCCAATGTTCAGGGTAATAAACATGCAGCCTCAGCCATTCAGAGCCTTCTGATTTTCTATATGGGTATTCCTTACTTAGACTATTTTTCAGTGTTCTCTCACCATCTCCACAATCGCTGGCAACAACGCTGGTCCATGTTAGATTATGACAAACTTTTCTATCAAACTACATTTAGGATTCTGGCCATCTTTTTCCTGCCACTGTCAGGTTTGGGAAACTGCACTCATGCTTATGCACCGGACACATGACTCACTCATGGATACCACAAGGAGAAATGACTGGAACCACTCTGTGAGGACTGTCAAGTCACACTGCCTGTTCAACATATTTAAAATATGTCGAACAGGCAGTGTGCCTTTCCTATCGGAGGGCACACAGGATACACTTCTGATATCTAAACCACCCAAACTGATGTCCTCGCTGAAAGTCCCACATTTAACAGACTCTCTCTCTCTTTTTTTTTTTTTAACAGAAACTAACCTGTTGCACTAACTTTGATTTTAATTTTACTCTTGCACAAACCCCTACCTCCACTAACCTCTAACTTTGTACACCCTTACTCCACACTCACTTCTAACCTTCTCCTTCACACATTGCTACTTTTGCACATCTTTTCCGCAGACATGATTCCTCAAGGGAGGTTCCTTGATATTGGTGAGGGGCTCTTGATCTAGGGAATTGGATCTGTGCTCCAGTTCCCTGAATTGAGCCTGAATACCTTCTATCCCCCACATGCACTATATAACCTAAGGGTTTAGCACTCCCCCGTGATTACAATATTATATAATAATTATATAACAATATTATAAAATATTATATAATAAGCATATATGTGAACAGTATTTAGATAAAGATAGGGAAGTTTTCATTGCATTTATGGATTTAGAAAAGGCATATGATAGAGCGGATAGGGGAGCAATGTGGCAGATGTTGCAAGTATATGGAATAGGTAGTAAGTTACTAAATGTTGTAAAGAGCTTTTATGAGGATAGTGAGGCTCAGGTTAGGGTGTGTAGAAGAGAGGGAAGACTACTTCCTGGTAAAAGTGGGTCTTAGACAGGGATGTGTAATGTCACGATGGTTGTTTAATATATTTATAGATAGGGTTGTAAAAGAAGTAAATGCTAGGGTGTTTGGGAGAGGGGTAGGATTAAATTATGGGGAATCAAATACAAAATGGGAACTGACACAGTTACTTTTTGCTGATGATACTGTGCTTATGGGTTAGTGAACGAGTTTGGGAGAGTGTGTAAAGGTAGAAAGTTGAAAGTGAACATAGAAAAGAGTAAGGTGATGAGGGTATCAAATGCTTTAGATGAAGAAAAATTGGATATCAAATTGAAGAGGAGTAGTATGGAAGAAGTGAATGTTTTCAGATATTTGGGAGTTGATGTGTCAGCAGGTAGATGTATGAAGGATGAAATTAACCATAGAATTGATGAAGGAAAAAAGGTGAGTGGTGCATTGAGGTATATGAGGAGACAAAAAGCATTATCTATGGAGGCAAAGAAGGGAATGTATGAAATTATAGTGGTACCAACACTCTTATATGGGTGTGAAGCCTGGGTTGTAAATGCTGCAGCGAGGAGGCGGTTGGAGGCGGTGGAGATGTCCTGTCTAAGGGCAATGTGTGGTGTAAATATTATGCAGAGAATTCAGTGTGTGGAAATTAGGAGAAAGTGTGGTGTAATAAAAGTACAGTGGACCCCCGGTTAACGATATTTTTTCACTCCAGAAGTATGTTCAGGTGCCAGTACTGACCGAATTTGTTCCCATAAGAAATATTGTGAAGTAGATTAGTCCATTTCAGAGCCCCAAACATACACGTACAAACGCACTTACATAAATACACTTACATAATTGGTCACATTCGGAGGTAATCGTTATGCGGGGGTCCACTGTATTAGTCAGAGGGCTGTTGAGGTGGTTTGGTCATTTAGAGAAATGGATCAAAGTAGAATGACATGGAGAGTGTATAAATCTGTAGGGGAAGGAAGTCGGGGTAGGGGCCATCCTCGAAAAGGTTGGAGGGAGGGGGTAAAGGAGGTTTTGTGGGCGAGGGGCTTGGACTTCCAGCAAGCATGCGTGAGCGTGTTAGATAGGAGTGAATGGAGACGAATGGTATTTGGGATGACGAACTGTTGGAGTGTGAGCAGGATAATATATAGTGAAGGGATTCAGGGAAATTGGTTATTTTTATATAGCCGGACTTGAGTACTGGAAGTGGGAAGTACAATGCCTGCACTTTAAAGGAGGGGTTTGGGATATTATCAATTTGGAGGGATATGTTGTGTATATACGTATATGCTTCTAAACTGTTGTGTTCTGGGTACCTCTTCAAAAACAGTGATTATGTATGAGTGAGGTGAAAGTGTTGAATGATGATGAAAGTATTTTCTTTTTGGGGATTTTCTTTCTTTTTGGGTCACCCTGCCTTAGTGGGAGATGGCCAACTTCTTAAAAAACAAAAACAAAAAAAATGCAGTCATGAAATCAAAAGGAAATACATATGCATAATATATTTGAGATGTGACATGATGTTGGACTGCAAACTACTGTATGTTATTTCTATGAGGGAATTCAGAAAAACTGATTAGCTGTATTTAACTTCTGGAGGTAAGTACAGTGCCTGCACTCTGAAGGAGTAGTAGGGATGTTACAGATCAGGGGTCATATGAATTGTGATGTCCATGTACTTCTGGCAAGACAGCTGCCGAATGAGTGATTGTGAAAGACTTTTTCAGTATCTTTCTGCTCATTAAAAAAAATATTTTTTTTTTGTTTTGTTTTCAACAAGTCGGCCGTCTTCCACCAAGGCAGGGTGACCCAAAAAGAAAGAAAATCTCCAAAAAGAAAATACTTTCATCATCATTCAACACTTTCACCTCACTCATACATAATCACTGTCTTTGCAGAGGCGCCAACATACAACAGTTTAGAAGCATATATAAAGATATAGTATAACATATCCTAGGTAGTAGGTTGGCCTAGGTAGTAGGCTGGTAAACAGCAACCGCCCAGGGAGGTACAGTCCTGCCAGGTGAGTGTAAAACGAAAGCCTGTAATTGTTTTCCATGATGGTAGGATTGCTGGTGTCTTATCTGTCTCATAAACATGCAAGATTTCAGGTACGTCTTGCTACTTCTACTTACTCTTAGGTCACACTACACATACGTGTACAAGCATATATTTACACACCCCTCTGGGTTTTCTTCTATTTTCTTTCTAGTTCATGTTCTTGTTTATTTCCTCTTATCTCCATGGGGAAGTGGAACAGAATTCTTCCTCCGTAAGCCATGCGTGTTGTAAGAGGCGACTAAAATGCCGGGAGCAAGGGGCTAGTAACCCCTTTTCCTGTATATATTACTAAATTTAAAAGGAGAAACTTTTGTTTTTCCTTTTGGGCCACCCCGCCTCAGTGGGATACGGCTGGTACGTTGAAAGAAGACGTATAATATATCCCTCCAAACTGCCAATATCCTAAACCCCTCTTTTAAGGTGCAGGCATTGAACTTCTCATTTCCAGTACTCAAGTCCAGCTATATAAAAATAACTGGTAAAAAAATTATTGTGCTATGTAAAATATGTAATGGAGGTTACCGGATTGATCTTCATCTGCATTGTAGAGAGCTTGTGCCAGGTACTGAAAGTCACTGTTCCATCTCTGTGCATCAAAAGTTTGTTCATAATGGTCCTCCACTGGTATTAGAGGCAGTGGTGGTAGAGGGGGTGGAGCTTGTGGTTTTGGTTGCTGAAGAGGTAGCTGTTCATGCATCATCCTATCATCTTCACTAAACCCTTCATCTGGGAGATATTTTGGTTGCGTTTCCACAGGCTAAAACAAACAAAATCATTGATATTCAGTACAGTAAAACAATGAATATCATAATTATGAAACATGTAATACGTTTCAGAGCCTTCATGCTACAACATTAAATATATAAATGTGCCTAAACTGTAAACACTGGTTTTAGCATAAACGTAATAATTAAAGTCGAGTAGTTGCACAAACCGGCCTTGGGTTATTTTCCCACGGGGCATGTAACATTGGTTGGTTCTGGAAAATTGGTAGCTGGGCTACTCTTGCCTGACGTGGACGATGATTATTACCTGTAAAAAGACATAAAAGTTAATTTATCTGATAAATAAATGAAGGCTATTGTTCTTAATTACAAAAACATTTCATTGTACACCTATTATAATTTATATTTATTTTTGTAAATTTCCCATTTTTTTTACTCGAGAGCTACTACTATTAAAATTTTTATTGAACATATCACTAAAAATATTAAAACTGTTTTTTGTTACATCTGTATATAAAACTGAATAGGTTTATAGGTTTACTAAATTGTCTCTACCTTGGTAAGAGGTGACAGACAGTACAGTGGAACCTTGGTTTTCATTTGCCCTGGGTTTCGCTGAATTTGGTTTTCGACGACTTTTTTCGTCAAAATTTTGTCCCAGTTTTCGTTCATCACCTCAGTTTTCGTCGAGTTTGACAGTGGTCCGCCATACCGAATGTGTCCGCCCGCGCCCACACAAAGCATCCCACGCATTCAGAGTCAGTCTGGCTTTGTTTCTCATCGGTAGAGGGTGGTAGTGATGGTGGTAGAGGGTGGTAGTAGTTGTGATGGTGGTAGAGGGTGGTAGTGATTGTGGTAGAGGGTGGTAGTGATTGTGGTAGAGGGTGGTTATGGTTGTAATGGTGGTAGTGATTGTGGTAGAGGATGGTAGTGATGGTGATAGAGATAACCTCTCCTCCCTCTCCCCTCCTCGCCATCTTCCATACACCAACAAAAGTCTTCAATGAAGGTAAAAGTGATGTTAAATGTTTATTTATCCATTTCATTTGTCCTTTATATTTATTTCTCATTGTTTTCTGTAAGTAAAACTATAGTTATTCTCTATAAAATGTATTTTTTGTTAATACTTTTGGATGTCTGGAACGGATTAATTGGATTTACATTATTTCTTATGGGAAATGTTGCTTCAGGTTTTTGTTGAATTCGGTTTTCGTCAGACTTTCTGGAATGAACTAATGACGAAAGCCAAGGTTCCACTGTACAGTATATATAATTCTATTTACCTAGCATAACTGTATGATGGGTTTCAGGTACAACTCTTGTAAGATAGTTCATGAGGGTGTCTATCTTAAATATGCCAGCTCCAGTTCGATCAGTTGCAAGAAGCAAACGCGCCCTTACATCTGGTGTTAGGTGGATTCCACATTTTGTGAAGGCAATTTCCACCTGAAATAGAGCATGATTTGACTTTATATAGTACTATTTTAAATTTTAATGTAGAAAGTAGTACTAACATATACCTCATGCATCAAGGAAACAAATTTAATACATTAGGCAAATCACTGTCAGCTTAATGCTTTCTATATTATAAGCATTTCATACCTGCACAAGTTTAGTGCATTTTGAGAATATAATAATTCTATATAACAAGCTACTTTAGTTGACTTTTTTTTGTGGCATAAAATACATTTATGACATTTTAAGTGTCTTTAAACTGCTGTATGGCTATGCACCTACAGTGCTTAGTTTCTAACTAAAAAAAATTTGCTCTTTGGAGGATCATCTGAGATGTCTTATCCATGCACCTCTGGCAAGATAGTGATAGTGTGAATGATGGTAAAAGTGTTTCTTTTTCGGATCACCCTGCCTAGGTGGAAACGGCCACTGTGTTAAAAAAATAAAATATTGTATTGTTAGGAAAGCAGTTTTCATAAATTCATCCTGTAATATATGAAAACATAATATTCAGGAGCTACTTTTCCATTTTATCATCTTATTGTACAACTGTGCTTTTTTTTTTTTTAACATGCTGGTTGTCTTCCACCAAGGCAGGGTGACCCAAAAAAAGGAAAGAAAAGAAACATTTTTGCCATCATTCAACACTCACTGTGTTATCTACTTTAATCTTATACAGTACAGTATATGGCTTATCCCATGACCTTAATATTACTATTAGGTGCATCTATAGACCACAAACAGATACTCGCACTGTATCTATACAAGGTCTACAGATGCACTTGTAATATGTAGATACAGCACTGTATTTTTCAATATTTAACCTATTTTTCTTCTAATATACTACACTTTTAGCTGAACAATGGTTTTTCACAATTGTCCATATACAGATTTCTGCATCATATATATATTCCTGTACTAGGCATCCTGTATTCCTTTACCATTTATATTCCTATACCATACATATAAGTTACCATGCTTACTCCTTTTCTTCCTTTATTATAGATACTCTTTTACCATGCAAATTACTATACATATTCTTGGATCACATATTGTATATTTCTGCACCATGTCAGGTATAATTTAATAGTTGTTTTCTTTGATATTTGGATATTTCAAGTTCCTGATCAACATCCCTTATTCCCTTCAACATATATGAAGGGATTCAGGGGAAACTGTTTAGTTAGACTAGAGTCCTGGATATGGTATGTACAGTGCCTACACTCTAAAGATAGGGTGAGGATATTGCAGTTTGGAAGGTCATTGAAATGTGCATCAGTATATAATGTGCACACTTCATTTATTAATGATTGGTTAACCCATTTGACTGTCGACTGTACTTATACGTCTTGACGTATATTACTCAAATTCTAGCGTTCAAATAGCAGGTGAAACAAGCGGAGCACATGTGGAGACATGGGTGGTGGTCGTTGCACAGTATAAAAAAATCCTGAAACAATGCATAATCGGAAAAATGAAACTCCGACCATTTTTTTTTAAATTAAAATGCCGTTTTGTTGTATTTCCTTTGAGTATTTACTGGTTGTATTCTCGTTTTCGCGGTACTCTTTAAGATGGAACAATTTAAAAAAAAAAAAATTATTTGATTTTATAAAAGAAAGAACTTTCGAGCTAAAGTAGGGAAAATTTGAAATTTTTGCAAGTCAAAATAAACAATGATGCCATGCAAATAAGTCAACTAGCATTCTTATGCACGAATGGGTTATTTTCCCACTTTGACCCCATTTTGCAGATTCGCTATAGTCGACTAAAACTAATATTTTGCTAAAATAATTTCATAAAGGTGAAAGAACCACATTATAAATTCAAGCTCCAGTGAACAGAGTCGAATTAGCAATTAGAAATTTCAAATTTTAAAAGATGCGCATTGTTCATCTAGGCTAGAATAAAAATGCAATTTTCTGGCTACTCGATAAATTGACATTTGCAACATTTCTGTCATATTATTAGGCCTTTAAATCTTTGGGCTCCACTTTTTTTATCTCACAAAAATAAAATGTTACGTTCTAAGAAAACTGCATTTGGGAAAAAATGATAAAGGAATTAGGCAATGTGAAAATATTAGACTCACATGACGATGTTTAACGCGGTCGCACTCGAGCATATCGTCTTTTCATCAATTTTTTTTTTGGTTCATTAATGGGAAAATCCACTATTTGCTAGAACTCAATTTTTAAACTTTCATACCAGGAAAACATCAAATGGGTTCCAACTGTAAATGGTTATTATTTATAAATGAACAATAAAACTAGAATACAACAATATACCATACAAATTTCACGCAAAGTCTGATTTAATTTAAAAATGGAAAATAACTTTGAGATACAAGTTTTTTTAGTTCCTCATAGCTTTCTGACGAGGAATTTTTTTTAGACTGTGGACAAATGACCACATAGACCCATCTTTCATTAAGAAGCCTACCAGCTTTCTCCCACTAGAATTTAGAGGCCGCTAGAATTTATGAGTACAGTACGTCAAAAACCCCATACGTAAGACGTACTAGTACAACCAAAACCCTTAAAGGGTTAAAATGCGACTTTGTGGTCTATTTTCGTATAGTATTTATGGTTGTATTCCCCGTTTTCTGGTCCATTTGATAGAATGGAAAACATATTATAAATAGAGGTGTTTTTATTGATTTACTATAAAAAGAACCTAGAAATGGAGCTCAAAGAGGGGAAATTTTGATTTTTGCCAAAGTTCAAAAGTAAAAAAATGATCCAGATAAAAATTCCAACTGCCATTCTAAATGCAGTCATGAATGGGTTGAGTTTTTTATACAATTATTACAGTTTTTCAGATTCTGCTAAAGAAGTCTTCATTTTTTGTTTAAATAAAAATTCAAATAAAAAGCAAGAGTAATACAAGGGGCCTGGAGACATGACGATGAGCAAAGGAATGTTTTTTAAGAGCCAGGAATGTCTGCATTGTTCATTCGGGCCCTTATTTTAAAAATTGTCATATTTTTATTTTCGTAAAATTTGGGCCAAAAATTTGAATTTTTCTGACCACTTTATTAGGTATTGAAATCGGTAAATGGGCAGTTTTTTGTACTCAATCGATAGAAAAAATGGAGTTCTAAAGAAATAGCTATGAGTTTGGGCGACTGGAACAATGGAATTAGCCGAAAATAGGGCTCAAAGTGGGCGAAATAGCCGATTTGTAAACAGCGCCGAGGTCGCTAACTTCGCGAGAGCATAATTCCGTCAGTTTTCCATCAAATTTAATTTTTTTGGTGTCATTACAATCGGGGAAAGATTTCCTATCATTTCATAAGAAAAAATAATTTTTTTTTTTTAAATTTTGTGACACCAGGAGACTACCTCAGGATTGGGGGTTGCGACAGTCAAAGGGTTAATGGGGTTTAACTCTTATTGACTACACTAGGATGATTAAAGCTGCATGGTAACCTTTTCACCACCAGACATGAATACTTGAATCTGTAAAATATGGACTAAAGTAAACTTTGAGAATACACATGCTGAGAGAAACACACCTCAGGGTATATATCCTGCTACAGAAAAATGGCGAATGTATTTCCTCTTTTTTTGGGAACACCCTACCTTGGTAGGAGATGGCCAGTGTTACAGAATCAACAGACACAAGGTACATTTTAAAAATTTTAAGTTTGAAACAAATGTTTAGCATCTGTACTAAAATTTATAAAAAATGCATAATACAATGTCATATCAAAAGTGTCTTTAGTTTTTGCACTATTTACTATGATAACTTTACAAGAGATTGTACATGGTTTTGAAACTAAAGGTGTGTAGGATTATCTTGATTTGAGCTCTTTTACATACCAAACTGAATTAGGGTACCTGTTTTCCATTAAGAAAGTCATTCCGATCACGATCAAGATCATACATAGTCCTTCTGAGGTCAGCCATATTAACTGGCTTGTTTGACAACTGGCGACTCATATCTGCTAATAAGGTGGCTTCATCACGATCAGTGAAGAGTACTCTGTACATGTAAAGTAAGAGATTAACATTATTACTAACATTCAACATTAGTTGAAACCGAAAATAACTAGAAATGAAATTAATGTATACACACAAAAGCAAACATTATATTTATGGCTATCTGTATATTATTGTAAAAAAAATTCTTTATTAAGGGAGAGAAGATTAAATATTAAAAAACTGCAATAAAAATAGTGATGAAGAATCATGCTGTTCAATGCAGATTATTATATTCATGGGAAAGTGCTTAACATGTAATTGTCATACAGTACCTGGGGAATGGGAAGGGTGGGAGTAATCAGGTTTTTTCCGAGGAAAGGGAGGGTAGCTCCATTTCCTTGGATTAAAATACTTTCACTAGTATCACAGTATCCCTTCCCATTAATGGATGTTAAATGCAAAACATATACAATTCGGTACCACTTTAGTTATCTTTGTCCACTCACCAAGGATAACAGTTTATACTGAGTATGATGCATGCTGAAAATATTACAAATACATTTTGTGCCAATTATTTCTACACCAAGTGGCAAAGGTTCAGCAATCAGACACAATGCATTCACTGATGAATGCTGAATGTTGGTTTGGAGATCAAATGAGATAAAAAAACATACTTGTCCCTTATTCACAAACAATACACCTGGAAAACAAAATATGATTTCTTTTAAGTTACACAAGAATAATGGAGAAGTAACCGGCAGAAGATGGCTGAGCACAATAAAGGGTCATATAAACAGCCTCATTGTGTGTACATGTTTTATTATAACTCTTACATAATAATTTCCTTTAGGAGTGTACAAATTTTCTTATAAGAGAAAGATAAAGAGAAAAACATAGCCTTATTTGCAATGATGCTCAAATGAAATGAGTTTGAGATGGCCCTGTAGGTGCCATAAGTCTTGATGAAGCACTTAACTGGCAGCCTAAAGAACACCAACTTACTTGTTCCTTAAAGTGATCTTACGAGGATTCTCTCGCTGTAGCTGCTGTGGTGTTTGCTGTTGCTGCTGTTGCTGCTGCTGCTGCTGCTGTTGCTGCATGTTGCCTGTTGGACCATTAGGCCTGCAAAAAAAAAAAAAAAAAATAGACCTATGAAATTAAATTTCAAACTAATAAGATATAATTAAATATAATATCCCAAATGCTTCTTTTGGCAAGAAACTGCATGATGTAAATCAACTGACTTCTGGTTAGGTAATGGTGGAGGAGGTTTAAGAGCTTCCATTCTGCACTTGGTAAGGTAGCTGACCATCTCCTCATAGCGAACCATGGCCACATGATCACCAGCCTGTCCAAATTTTTTACAGAGGTTCTTCATGCCATCATCACTAAAATGCAACTGCAAAAAAAAAAAAAAAAGTTATTAAAGGTTTACCATTGAAATACTTAAAAAAAATTTCATGGTTAGTAAATTTATCACCAAGAGCAGAGCTAGCCTTACAGTGTCCCATCTTCAGTATTAAACCATTAAAAACATTATTTTCAAGTGGTTGTTGTACTTGCTGCCTAGTCATTGTTCTACCAAGTTTTAAAGAGCCTTATAGTATCTTTTCAGCCCTATTACTACATTTGCAATATTTGCCACATAGCTCTTCTACCCACCATATCATGTGCCTTTTCTAAATCCATAAATTCAACAATAAAAAGTCCTTTTCTTTATCTAAATGCTGTTTACTTATGTGCTACAATGTAAAGACATCCCCTACCATTCTGATAATGAGGGAATTTTTTTTTTATTCAGTCAATTAGTGGTTAATAGGAAGGAAATAATAGTATAGTTTTATGCCTTGACAAAAATATAAATATGAATTGGACAAACACTTTGGGTATTAAATTTTAAACATCAGTGCCTGTACACATTCCAATGTGACATTTACTATGTACATGTGAACCTCTGAATTTACAAGTTACATTCCATGAGATCTGGAGTTTATAAAAATACAAGATTCTGACTGTATAATAGACTGCTAAAAATTTAAGCTCATTTTGTTTCAGAGGCCATATCTACCTAAATATCAATCTAATGTGGTTAATACTAAATTCATAAGAAACAATGACAAGAATAAGATCTGAGTGTGAGAAAAGCCATTGGAGTACAATTTGAATGAAAATCTTAAATCAAGACCCCCCATCCCCTCACTGGGTGTCCCATGGCTCATTTAGTTTAGGGGCACAAGCCCCTAAACTAAGTGTTAGCCACCAAGAACCTCTTATAAACACTTTTAATTAGTACTGGCTTTTATTATAAGTAATATTATTTACTGAAAAAATAGGTAACAAAATCAGTATTGTTTAATATATACATCCCTAGGCAGACTAAAACAAAACATAAACACTGTCCAGTAATTATTTTATATTTCATAGAGTACTGGGGACATAGCACATGGAGTAAATATCATCATACTGTATATATTTATACATTATTTGATCACATATTTGGAGTATCTTCACCCTAGATGTATTTAGGTACTGATGAGTGTATCAAAATTCTACATTTGGTGTACAGAAATTCACCTGAAACCTCTTCAAGGTTCCTTTGACAATGTCTGAGGATAAGATGCCATCTCTATCACGGTCTTGTGCTCGAAGGTTGACGAGGAGACCCTGTAGGCCACGCTCTGGTAATTCCTTCACCTTCTTCACCACTTCATTCCTGTCCCAAATGACGAAAATTGGAAAATCATTAATAATGGAAAATTAACTGCTCCTACATAAAATAAGAAAGCTTTCACTTTCATATTTTGCCTTCAGATAAAATTTATATTTTCAGTCTCCTACTGAACCAGTATTCTTTTATTTTATAGCTGTATAAGAGGCCCTACTTTACAGGGTGTCACTTTACAGCATTTCACTAATGCAGCAGTTAAAAATTATACCCATTCTTCATTTATTCAGACTTCTTATAATAAATATATTCATCACTCACTATAAGCTAAAGATGGAAATATTTTAAGGTAAATAATGTGTGTACTGTATATGCCATTTTTTAGGCCTAGCTCTATTGCTTATTTAAAATATAATAGTGTAAACATGTCATCAGGCTTTTATATGCACTTAAAAGTGAAAAAAGGTTAAGTTTCACTTTACAGTGATTTTCACTTTACAGCAGTAGCCCAGAACCTAACCTGCTGTATAAGTGGGGCCTGCCTGTACCTCAGCTCATTTTAAACCCAGTTACATCTTGCCTGAGATGAATGACCCCATAAAGAATAAAAAAGCACAATACCATGACTGGAGCAACACACAAATAACCCTCATGTAGCAGACAAACTTATGACATTTCAGTCCACTTTGGACCATTAACTAGACACACAAGTTGGACCATAACATAGTCATAAGGCTTCTTTTACATGCATTTGTTATTTGTATGCAAGTTATCTGTGCAATGAATGACATCATGTCTGACATATATATATTTGTGGGGAAGGATTAAACCTGTAGAGGGGACACACAGTGCCAGTGCAATGGGAGATATTCAGGTTTGATCAGAGGGAAGGGATTGTAATTCCAGTTCCTTTAATGACGTGCCCTTTGTGAGCATCAATATACTCCCCTTGAAGGGGAATCAATATTGGAATCAAGAAGCCTCTGCAGTGTTCTTGTAACTTATAATAATAATAATAATAATAATAATAGTAATAATAATAATAATAATAATAATAATAATAAGAGTAAGGTGATGAGGGTATCAAATGATTTAGATAAAGAAAAATTGGATATCACATTGGAGAGAAGGAGTATGGAAGAAGTAAATGTTTTCAGTGGATGGATTTATGAAGGATGAGGTTAACCATAGAATTGATGAAGAAAAAAAGGTGAATGGTGCATTGAAGTATCTGTGGAGACAAAAAACGTTATTCATGGAGGCAAAGAAGGGAATGTACGAAAGTATAGTGGTACCAACACTCTTATATGGGTGTGAAGCTTGGGTTGCAAATGCTGCAGCAAGGAGGCGGCTGGGGGCAGTGGAGATGTCCTGTCTAAGGGCAATGTGTGGTGTAAATATTATGCAGAGAATTCAATGTGGAAATTAGGTGGTGTGGAGTTATGAAAAGTATTAGTCAGAGGGCTGAAGAGGGGTTGAGGTGGTTTGGTCATTTAGAGAGAATGGATCAAAGTAGAATGACTTGGAGAACGTATAAATCTGTAGCGGAAGGAAGGCGGGGTAGGGGTCATCCTCAAAAAGGTTGGTTGGAGGGGGTAAAGGAGGTTGTGGGCGAGGGGCCTGGACTTCCAGCAAGCATGTGTGAGCGTGTTAGATAGGAGTGAATGGAGACGAATGGTTTTTGGGACCTGACGAGCCGTTGGAGTGTGAGCAGGGTAATATTTAGTGAAGGGATTCAAGAAACCAGCTATTTTTATATAGCTGGACTTGAGTACTGGAAATTGGAAGTACAATGCCTGCACTTTAAACGAGGGGTTTTTGATATTGGCAGTTTGGAGGGGTATGTTATATATCTTTATATATACTTCTAAACTGTTGTATCTGGGTGCCTCTGCAAAGACAGTGATTATGTGTGAGTGAGGTAAAAGTGCTGAATGATGATGAAAGTTTTCTTTTTGGAGATTTTCTTTCTTTTTGGGTCATCCTGCCTCGGTGGGAGATGGCTGAATTTTTGAAAAAAAAAAAAAAATAAATAAATAAATACATGGTTGTACAAAGGAATATAATAGTTGAGTGTACATGCCAAAAGCATGCAGAGCATTTTGGGCAAACTTAAAATTAACTTAAGATTAATAAGGCTATAACAGATTAAATGGTCACTAGATGAGTTACAGTGAGTACAAGAGAATTGAAGATTAATAGGTAATGCTATATGGCTTTAATAAGTCTAGTAGAGAAGTTTAGTAGAGAATAATTTCAGTTTTGAAGTACTTTATAAAAATTACAGTGTGTATTACAATAGAACAATTTACAATATGACGTATTACAACTATTTAAAACGATGAAATTTGAACATTACAATTTTGAAGTAGTATTACATGTTTTACAAAAGAACAATTTAAACAATTTACAATATGAAGTATTACAATTTAGTATTCAAAACAATGAAATTTGAACATCCTAATTTTGAAGGAATGAGTACATGGTTGAGCAATCTTCAGCACAATATTCAGTGTTAAAATTGAGACATCATTAGTACTTTTTTGTGTTGCTTTTGAGTAACTGGTAGGCATTAAGTTTGGCTTGTCTGGTTAATTTTGGGTGATGAGGAGATTTCTAAGTAGAACCTTAAATTGATTTGCAGGCAGGAGTCCTTTAGTGTGTTCTTGTAATAAATTCCAGATCTTCAGGCCCTTTATGTGCAAAGCATTTTTGCACAGGGAGAGATGAACACAAGGGATATCGAAGAGTGAATGTGGTAACTATCTAGCCAGGATAATACACAAAGCTGGAATGTTCCATATTTTGTGTCTCATGCTGGGTAAAATTTACACTAATCAATCCATCTGTTTCTGCTTTAGGCACCTCGATTACTAAAGATCACATAAGCACTGGTCGTTGGGTAAACTGGATACTATCATTCAGGAATACTTTGCATCATTAAAATAGGTTCTAAAGCAAATTTTCTAAATACACTGAGAGTGTGTTTACCTGGAGTTTACCTGGAGAGAGCTTCAGGGGTCAACGCCCCCGTGGCCCAGTCTGTGACCAGGCCTCATGGTGGATCAGAGTCTGATCAACCTGGCTGTTACTGCTGGTTGCATGCAATCCAACGTACGAGCCACAGCCTGGCTGGTCAGGTACCGACTTTAGGTGCTTGTCCAGTGCCTGCTTGAAGCTAGTCAGGGGTCTATTGATAATCCCCCTTACGTATGCTGGGAGGCAGCTGAACAGTCTTGGGCCCTTGACACTTATTGTATCGTCTCTTAACGTGCTAGTGACACCCCTGCTTTTCACTGGGGGGATGTTGCATCGTCTGCTGAGTCTTTTGCTTTCATTGTGAGTGATTTTTGTGTGCAAGTTTGGTACTAGTCCCTCTAGGATTTTCCAGGTGTATATAATCATGTATCTCTCCCACCTGCATTCCAGGGAGTACAGGTTCAGGAACTTCAAGCTCCCAGTAATTGAGGTGTTTTATCTCAGTTATGCATGCCGTGAAGGCTCTCTGTACATTTTCTAGGTCAGCAATTTCACCTGCCTTGAAAGGTGCTGTTAGTGTGCAGCAATATTCTAGCCTAGATAGAACAAGCGACCTGGAGAGTGTCATCATTGGCTTGGCATCCCTAGTTTTGAAGGTTCTCATTATCCATCCTGTCATTTTTCTAGCAGATGCGATTGTTACAATGTTATGGTCCTTGAAGGTGAGATCCTCCAACATGATCACTCCCAGGTCTTTGATGTTGGTTTTTCGCTTTATTTTGTGGCCGGAATTTGTTTTGTACTCTGATGAAGTTTTAATTTCCTCATGTTTACCATATCCTGAGTAATTGAAATTTTTCATTGTTGAACTTCATATTGTTTTCTGCAGCCCACTGAAAGATTTGGTTGATGTCCGCCTGGAGCCTTGCAGTGTCTGCAATGGAATACACTGTCATGCAGATTTGGGTGTCATCTGCAAAGGAAGACAGTGCTGTGGCTGACATCCTATGTCTATGTCAGATATGAGGATGAGAAACATGATGGGAGTGAGTACTGTGCCTTGTGGAACAGAGCTTTTCACCGTAGCCACCTCAGACTTTAGTCTGTTGACAGTTTCAGTTTAATATCTTTATTATGCACCCCATACCCATCCTGTGGGCGGTAGTCAAAAGATTACAGAGGTACATAATGGGTCCAGGGACTGGACCCCAAAGTTATGATAGCTGAACTAGTTACAAAGGTAATGAACTCCAGGTAGATCTGGTCACAATCATGGAAAGTTACAAATTTTGTGCGCTATTATGCCATGGTCACACTTGTCGAAGGCTTTTGCAAAGTCTGTATACTATATTCCATCTGCATTCTTTTTGTCTTCTAGTGCATCTAGGACCTTGTTGTGGTGATCCAGTACTTGGGACAGACAGGAGCGACCTGCTCTAAACCCATGTTGCCCTGGGTTGTGTAATTGATGGGTATTTAGATGGGTGGTGATCTTGCTTCTTAGTTTTAGTTAGTTTATTATGTTTATTATGCACCCCATACCCATCCTGTGGGCAGTAGTCAAAAGATTACAGAGGTACATAATTGGTCCAGGGACTGGGCTCCAAAGTTTTGATAGCTGAGCAAGTTACAGAGGTAATGAACTCACAATTTACAAAGGTAATGAACTCACAATTTACAAAGGTAATGAACTCACAATTTACAAAGGTAATGAACTCCAGGTAGGTCTAGTCACAATCATGACAAATTACAAAGGTATTTACAGATTACAGAGGTACGTAATGGGTCCAGGGACTGGGCCCCCAAAGTTTTGATAGCTGAACTAGGTACAAAGGTAATGAACTCACAAGTTACAAAGGTAATGAATCCTTCTTAGGACCCTTTCAAATATTTTTATGATATGGGATGTTAGTGCTATCGGTCTGTAGTTCTTTGCTATTGCTTTACTGCCCCCTTTGTGGAGTGGGGCTGTCTGTTGCTTTTACTAACTGTGGGACGACCCCCATGTCCATGCTCCCTCTCCATAGGATGGTAAAAGCTCGTGATAGGGGCTTCTTGCAGTTCTTGATTAACACGGAGTTCCATGAGTCTGGCCCTGGGGCAGAGTGCATGGGCATGTCATTTATCGCCTGTTCAAAGTCATTTGGCGTCAGGATAACATCAGATAGGCTTGTGTTTACCAAATTCTGTGGCTCCCATAAAATATTCATTTTGATCCTCGACTCTCAGTCTGGTTAGCGGCTTGCTAAAAACTGAGTCATATTGGGACTCGAGTAGCTCACTCATTTCATTGCTGTCATCTGTTCATTCATTCATTAGTGATTTGCCGGTACTTCCGGCCCGGGTCTTCTCCAGATGGCGACCCGGCGGTGGCCCCCCGCTGTCATCTGTGTAGGACCCATCTTGTTTAAGTAGGGCCCCAATACTGGATATTGTTCTCGACTTTGATTTGGCATAAGAAAAGAAATACTTTGGGTTTCTTTCGATTTCATTTATGGTTTTTAGTTCTTCCCGCGATTCCTGACTCCTATAAGATTCCTTTAGCATAAGTCCCGTGGCTCGGTTTAAAATGCACTCGCATTATAATCCCTGGCATAGTTAATCCCTATGCCAGGGATTATAATGCGAGTGCATTTTAAACCGAGCCACGGGACTTATGCTAAAGGAATCTTATAGGAGTCAGGAATCGCGGGAAGAACTAAAAGCCGTAAATGAAATCGAAAGAAACCCAAAGTATTTCTTCTCCTATGCCAAATCAAAGTCGAGAACAACATCCAGTATTGGGCCCCTACTTAAACAAGATGGGTCCTACACAGATGACAGCAAGGAAATGAGTGAGCTACTCAAGTCCCAATATGACTCAGTTTTTAGCAAGCCGCTAACCAGACAGAGTTGAGGATCAAAATGAATTTTTTATGGGAGCCACAGAATTTGGTCGGGCATGTTTCCTTATACCTGCTGTCCATGTTCACCTAGCAGTTAAGTAGGCATCTGGATGTTGGTCAACAGGTATGGGTCACATCCTGGGGGACAAGACTGAAAGAACCTCAAAGGAAATAAGAGACAGTCCTCGATGACACACTTGACTTTCTTGGGTTATCCCGGGTGATTAACTCTATGGGTTAAAAATCAGAACAAATCTTAACTTAGAGACATACAACAACGTCCTACAGCTACATGCTATTGCGAAAAATATAGAATATTTATCAAATAGGAAGAGGCACATGTTTATGGCACATCTAACGCAGAAGAAAGTGACACGTGGAACACCAAAATATCTTTATTGTATTGTAGACTTCGACAACTCGTAGCATCAGCAATCCAATTTTGAGAATAATTACTGGAGACTGTGGAAGAGCTGAAGTAGTTGAGGTGCTCTGAAATGATCTGAGGTAGGATAACGGCTCTTAGCCTGTAAAATTGATTTGTGTAAAAAAAAGGGATCAGTCTTTTCTTCTTGATGGGTTTGTAACAGCCACTGACAACTTACGCCGTAGGAAACCCTGCTTCCCCATATAAGGAAAAAAGAGATACTGCCTAAAGCTGGGAGATGAAGGAAAAGGGAACATGAGTCCATTTGTATATAGAAGTAGAAACTATAAGTTCTACAAACTAGAAGCTAGAAGTACCCAAACGGAGCAGGTGGATCTCATTTGCCAAGCTCCAGCATAGCGAGATGCCCACACCCTCACCTGAATTTAGCAATTGGCTTCTCTTCAAAACTGTTCAAGAAATATCCGCAGAGCGGAAAAATGGAGCAGGCAAAAACTGAGCCGATGAAAGAAGCCTATCCTGTAACGTGCCCAGAGGGTAAAATAAGATGAAAAGTGTTCCGGAGAGAACGGGAGAAATTTGTCACTGATGCTCAGGCGAGAGCGTGACGTCCACACTTGACAAAGTCCATCCGAGAAAGTGTTGAAAAATAATGTGATTCTCGTTGCTGGGGTTGGTCTCGGCCACCAAACCTGCCACTTTATCGAGCATTTTTCCCCGGGAGTCCTGGAATTTTTTATTCCAAATATGAGTGGCAAACTGAAATTATGTACACGTAAAATGCCAAGTTGCACTGCAATGGCACCACTGATATTGGTAAAGGGCTCTTGATCCAAGAAATTTGAAGTATCCTCCTTTTCACTGGATCAAATCTGATTGCCTTCCATTTTCCAAGGCGCTGTATGAGCTCTTAAGGATTTAGTGCTCCTCCATGAATGTCCTACTACTACTACTACTACAACTATTACTACTACTACTACTACTAATAATAATAATAATAATAATAATAATAATAACTGACAATGACATTGTGAACAGGTATAAAAATAAAGCATTTCTTACTTGAGTGAAATGGCATCCAGCTCAGATAATGAGAAGTCTTGATCCTTCTTTCTACCCGAGTCTTTGATAGGGGGAAGGACGGAGAAGTTGGATCCCCTGACTTTTGGTTCTTCCGGGGAGTCAGGAAGTTGCCTGGGTTGTGCATACTGTTGACCAGCTCCTCCTGGTCCTCCCCCTAGCGTGGGCGCTGGTTGTGGCCTCTGTCTTAACAACAGAGGTACACCACTGGCAGACACAGCGTGTATGGTGGGGTGTGCCCTGCACGTGGAAACATACCACATTCTTTTATTCAACTTAAAAGTTATAGCAATTTCTAGTCTTTGTAGTTATAACAGGTTTACGAGTATGGAATTGTTAATTTACGTCTAAGTTGCTATATAAGACATTTGTAAGACTAAACTTGTGTAATGACCGAATAAAAACTTGTTTATTATGGCATAATAATATAGTGATTGTAAATTTCTTGTAAGATAGCTAGTCAGTGAGTAATGGTGAATATAATTTACAATAAAATAAAGTTATAAATTTTTATTTCCTAAGAATATAGTTACAAAATTAGGTAACAATAAATAGTAAATCTTACAAGAAAAAGCCCTTAGTTACGTATAACATTTTTAGTATTCTAAAGCTAGTATTATTGCTAACACTATTACAATACAAAATATATCGGACATTGCGTATAAAATTAAATAATATTATAGCAGAAGTTTTTTTGTGGAAATTGAATATTTAGTGAAAGACATTAAAGATTCAATGTTAGAATAAAACTTAACATCAAGGACACTAAAATAAAAATATGATTTGAAGATATTATTAAATTAAAAAGGTTTAGACTGTTTTTAGTTCATCAATAACTACGTTTAAAATCAAATTTGAGCATAATATATAGGATGTGTAATCAACTGGGCGACATTCGGTAAATCACTGGTATAAAAGAGAAGCTGGCCCAGAATACTATCTGTTGTCTGTTTATTACGTAGGATTTATTAAGCCTGAAATATACGATGTGTTAAAAATATAATATTGTGCTGTGGGTAATGCATATACCTCAAAACTGCGGGAAATTAAAGACATAGTGAGTGTTGCATATCTTTGAGTCACTATTTATCGGCATTCGTCATCTAGTATCTACTAAAATTTATGGGTAACAAGCTCATTCTCACTGCCCTCCGTAACTCATACTGCTGTTATATTAATGAGTTTGCGAAATTTATAATTGCATTGACTGCAGTGGAAATGATACAGATATTGTTACTCGGTAAACGAGTTGGATGGGTTAGTACGAACTAATATTGGAGTATCAGGCTGAGCCTATCACAACCAAATTTATTCAGTGAGAATTCCAGTTTAGTCTCTCTTCAAGGGTAATGTCCAAATTCCTGGGAATGGTTCTAGATCCAAGGAATTGGAGCTACCACTCCCTTTCCTTCCACGGATCAAACCTGATGACCTTCAGCTACTGTGGAAAATACTGTATATTCTCCAAAAATACAGTGTATTTTGTATGTAAATTAGTGTAATATATTGTAGGTAATAAAAATTAATTTGTAAATAAATAAAGAACCAGCGATGGGTGAGCATCGCTGGGGAAGAGACGCCATTGTTTTGAAGGTGGTAAAGGCACGTTAGTGAAATGTGTATAAATTTTCGTCGCTCTAGGGGTTATATTGGGCTTAAAACCTCTCAAATAGGAGCCGAAACTGTTGGATTTGCAGTCCTGCATAACGTGAGCATTAAGCAGATGGACAGGACAGGTTTGGAACCCCAAATTCTGGCCAGTATTTTCTTCATAATTTAGGCAGGGGGGGGTTTGTATGACACCGTAATCTCCAGACTAATTGGTGAGTCTTATTATTATAAATTCTCCTTCAATGTATATGTATTCACATTTTAAATTTAATGTACAGTCAACATATTTATATTAATGTTTTTACCAGAATTCCTGGTGATGTATATTTCATTTGAAATTAATATAGGTCCAGAGTAACTTGTGGAGAGATAGATTGTCGTAGGTATCGAAGGAGGACATTTTTTGCGACCTAGGTGTCCTAAAATTCCTGCTTGTCTCTGTAACCTTGATAAAGAATAATTATCTTTGTTACCATTTACTGGTATGTATCTTATGAGTTACATCCAGGTAAATTTAATTTTCCACAGCTACTCTAATACCCCTGATGCTGCATGACCCTTGAAGTAATAATGTCTGGTTTCGATACTCTTACCTGTCCGTTATTCAGTTGTAACTTGTAACTTGTGTGCCTCACTACTGACGAAAATGGAGGCTGGCTCATATGATTAATACATAAATTTTACTTCCGATCAGTTTATTGGATTCCTCTACCATTTTTCCCGTAACTGCAAACTGATTATTATGATTAATTTTATTATCTTTCTTAAACTGATCAATTATCTGGACTGATTGTACGTTATCCCTGATTTCTGATAAGTCGAGTTATCTTTCTAAATTCTTATAATTTTATTCCATTTTCTCTCCTCGCTCTTAATAGGACTTTATAATTGACAATATTACATATGAGACGTTCATTTGATTATCGACTGTTTAATTAATTTGTCAGTTCAGTGTTAATACTTGGCGTCACATAGTTCCAAACGTCACAGTACTAGAGCTTGACGTCACTGTTAATTTCTGGCGTTACATATTCCTAACGTCACAATGTTAGCGTTTGACGTTGCTATTAGACCCTGACGTCACAATGTTATCTCCTGGTATCATAATAACAGTTCCTGGCGTTAAAACGTTAGTTCTTGCATCACAGTGCTGGCTCATGGTGTCACAATGTTAGCAACTGATGTTGCTATATTTGTTACTGACTACAGTATTGACTTCTGGATCACAGTGCTAGTTGCTGGTGTCACAATGTTAGTTCCCGACCTAGTAGTGTTAACTGACGTTAGTGTCAGCCCTAGCATCACAGTGTTAGCTCCTGACGTCACAGTGCTAGCTCCCAGGGTCATAGTATTAGCTCCTGGTGTCATTGTTAGCTCCTAATGTCAGTGTTTGTTTCTGGCGTCAATGTTAGCTCCTGGCGTCACAGCGCTAGCTTCTAGCGTCACAGTGTTAGCTCCAGGCGTCACACTGTTATAGCCAAGAGTCACGGTGCTAGCTCCCTGCGTCACAATGTTAGCTCCCGGCGTCACAATGTTTGCTCCTGGTGTCACAGTGCTAGTCACCGACGTCACAATGTTAGCTCCTGGCGTCAGTGCTAGCTATGTTAGCTACCGGCGCCACAGTATTAGCTCTTGGCGTCACAGTGCTAACTACCGGCGTCACAGTGCTTGTCACCGACGTCACAATGTTAGCTCCTGGCGTCAGTGCTAGCTATGTTAGCTACCGGCGCCACAGTATTAGCTCTTGGCGTCACAGTGCTAACTACCGGCGTCACAGTGCTTGTCACCGACGTCACAATTTTAGCTCCTGGCGTCAGTGCTAGCTATGTTAGCTACCGGCGCCACAATATTACTTTTGGGCGTCACAATGCTAACTACCGGCGCCAGTCAGTCCCGACGTCAAATGTTAGCTACCGAGCCACAGATTAGCCTTGGGTCACAATGCAACTACCGGGTCGCAGTGCTAGTCACCGACGTCACAGTGCAGCTTCCAGGGTCTAGATTAGCTCCTGGTGTCAATTTTGCTCCTATTCAGTGTTAGTTTCGGGCGTCAATTTTAGCTCCTGGCGTAAGCGCTACTTCTAGCGTCACAGTGTTAGCTCCAGGGTCACACTTATCGCCAAGAGTCCGGTGCTACCCCCTGCGTCACAATGTAGCTCCCGGCGTCACAATGTTTGCCCCTGGGTCACAGTGCTAGTCCCCCGACGTCACAATGTTAGCTCCTGGCGTCAGGCTAGCTAGTTACTACCGGCGCCACAGTATTAGCTCTTGGCGTCCAATGCTAACTCCCGACGTACAGTGTAGTCACCGACGTCACAATGTTACCCTGGCGTCAGTGTACATGTTAGCTACGGGCCACAGTATTAGCTCTTGGCGTCACAATGCTAACTACCGGCGTCACAGTGCTAGTCACCGACGTCACAATGTTAGCTCCTGGCGTCAGTGCTAGCTATGTTAGCTACCGGCGCCACAGTATTAGCTCTTGGCGTCACAATGCTAACTACCGGCGTCACAGTGCTAGTCACCGACGTCACAATGTTAGCTACCGGCGTCACAGTGTGTAAGGCCACTAGGTCAGTAACTACACTAGGAGAGACCAGTCAGCAGCAAGTGTTTACTTGCCAAGAGTCTGAAGATCTCTGAGGTGGTGGAATGTTTTTCAGAGTTTTTAATCCAGACGGTAATTACAGGCTTGTGGTGGCAGTAAAAGATTCTGGGGGGGGGGGGCGGATTAGCGCAGTTTCCCTTTAAAAATTTAAACTAATACAGTAATTCATAGCATGGGGGACCTTCAAGAGAAGGAATACAAGACGGAATTTTTCACCAGGGAAGAAATTATTTGTAATTCTTGAATTTCTTGGTGATGGAGCCTCGTGTATATTAACCAGCTTACCGAGTAACATTAATCGAAATCGTAAAACTAATTGAATTTTCTGCAAACATCATTTTTATTGCAGTTAAGAAATTATAGATTATTACTATTATTATATTCACAAAAATATGCCCCAAACTCATGCGAGTCATAAAGCTTAAAAGAAGAAACTGGATACTAAATAATGTGAAAACCGAGTTTAATATATATATATATATATATATATATATATATATATATATATATATATATATATATATATATATATATTTTATATATATATAATATATGTCTGCCGAATAGGCAGAACTTGGATCTTGCTTAAATAGCAAAGTTCATCTTGCAATAGGACAGTTTAAATTTTGTGTATCAATTTTAATTTCGCCAAAATCTTCTGAACCCTAACGAAAAAAATATATTTCTTGTGCTTGTTTAGTATTAAATTATTGTAAACAAATCTAAAATATATTTAGGTGGGTTAGGTAAAATAAATTTTTCTTGTTATAATAAGGTTAGGTAAGTTTTAAGATTCTTTGACAAAATTAAAAATTTTACATTAACATCAATGAAAAAAAATATCTTTAAAACTTAAAGAGAAAATTTTGAAAGGACTTAATTTTAAATGAGTTTGCTAATTGACCAGTTTTACATATTCGGCACGACATATATATATATATATATATATATATATATATATATATAATATATATATATATATATATATATATATAATATATATATATAATATAATATATAT